CTTCCTAACTACCCCCCTACATCCCTGAGCAACTGCAGAATCTCTAAGATGCAACCACCAAATAAAACCAGCAGATAAAGGAGGACCTATAGTTATCTTCCACTAAATCAAAGAAGTCAACAGACAACTCTGACACTACCTACCATATCTTCCCCCACACCCCCTGCGGAAGAGTCAACTTCCCTTTTCTCCTCAAAACTATCATCGCTTCTCTTCCATCAGAATTACAAGAAAAGCCTTAAACCCTGATCCCTCCACTACCCACTCCAGGGACTTTTTAACTGCTCCTTGTTGCAAGGAAAATCAAATCTTGTCATGTCAAGTTGACTAAACTCTTAGAAGCCTTCCAAGATGACTCAGAACTGGCAGCAATTGTGGCCTAAAGTTAGCCCCAGTAAAGTGCCAGGGAACATTGAGAACAACAGAACTATAAGATAAGTTAATGTGGTAATTTTTGGCACTAACAAACATGGGAATAGAAAAACAAGAGGAAGATGTTCTCAGTGTGTAAGGATGTGCTTCTGTATTCTTAGAATCTGTAAGCCAAAATATTATATAACAAGCTTGGCTAGCACTGATGATGGTAATATCATTAAAAAGGGTTAAATAGCCTAAGCAAGTAAAGTTAGTGTTTGTTGCACGCTGAGTTGCCTGCATGGATTTGAGGGAGACACCTGCAGGGATTGCTAGAGGAGGACCAAGCTTTCGGACTTGGAACAGCATAACCCAAGCAGCTCACCCAGTACAGCCAACTGTGGCTAGTACCTCCCGAGTAACAGCTCTAGACAGACTGAAGCGGTGAAGAGTCTTTGGTAACTGTCTGCTTATATTCTGGCAGTCCCAGTAAAATTGACTACTTGTATTCTGGCAACCCAGAGGGGAGGGGAGCCAGGTGTTCAAGGAGAGTGGTCACTCCTTAAAGAGACGATCCTCCAAGCCCAAAGGAAGGTAATCCCAATGAGGATTACCCAATGAGGTAGGTAAGCCCAAAGGGAGCAGGAGGGCACACGAGTCTCCATGGCTCACCAAAAGCATCCAGGAGTGTATCCTTGCTAAAAGGGAGGTGTACACCCAATGGAAAGAAGGGGTCATCACCAGGGATGACTATACTGAAGCCGCCCAGGGATGTAGGGGGGCAGTCAGGAAGGCCAAGGCAGAGATGGAATTAGGACTAGCTTCCCAGATTAAAGGACAATAAGTCCTTCTTTAAATATATAGGGGGTAAAAAGAAGGTCCCGGGTAATGTGGGGCCCTTGCAGGACACGTTGGGAAATTTGGTCGTCACACCAGATGACAAAGCTAACATGGTTAATGATTTCTTTGCCTCCATCTTCCTAAGTAGGGACCAGAACAGCCACCTCCCTGCTGGGCCCCCCTCAGGCCCTGGGGGAGGCACACCTGGGCCAGGGGTTAGTGAGGAACTAGTTAGGGAGCTTCTGGACATATTCAAGTCAGCCGGTCCGGACAATTTCCACCCTAGAGTTCTAAAGGAATTGGCCGAGGTCATTGCAGGACCCCGGGACAGCTTTACAAGCACTCGTGGTGCTCTGGAGTGGTGCCAGAGGACTGGAAGAGGGCCAATGTGGTTCCCATCTTCAAAAAAAAGGGAAGGAGGACCCAGGAAACTATAGGCCTGTTAGTCTTACCTCGATCCTAGGCGAGCTGTTTGAGAAAACTATTCTGGCATACATCCATGAGGGGCCAGCAGGGGACTGCATGCTTAGGGGTATGCGACACAGGTTCATCAGTGGCAGGTCCTGTCAGACCAACCTGGTGGCCTTTTACGATTAGATCACCAGATCATTAGATGCAGGGGTAGCAGTGGACACAGTCTTCCTGGACTTCCGGAAGGCCTTTGACACTGTCTCTCACCCCGTTCTCATTAAGAAACTGGGGG